TCAGACAATGAATTTTTAGTTATTTTTGACAGGCTAAGCTCAGGCTGCTATAGTGATCCATCTATTGTTGGTGGGCTGCACATTTAGTTTAGATAAACTTTATTTATAAATGCTCAAAAATATATAATTTATGCAGAAATATATATTACTATTACTATTCAACAAAAACAGTACTCGATATTTTTAAAGATTACAATAGTAAAAAAGTATAAATATATATATATATATATATATATATATATATATATATATATATATATATATATATATATATATATATATATATATATATATATATTGGTCCATATACATTGGCATATACATTGGCCCAACGTTGTATACAAATTTAGCCTAATGTTGTATACAACATTGGTCCAATATCGTATGTTATATATCGGCCTAACGTTTTATGCAACATTAGATCGTTGTTACAGATAAGATGATTTGCATCGCTACATTGAAAATTTATAGAGAAAAAAGAGAATGCATGATACAAGTATAAAAATTTATTTAACATAATTTATCGGTTAAATATACATATTGCTAACACCAAACTTAAACTAAAAACTGACACATTGAGTTTTAAATAAAAACTTTCACTATAAAATTTATAGAGTAGTTTCGATATTGGCTGAGCTACTTGTTATTGAATTGTATTTAGCTTATGATATTTGGTACCCACAATTATTTTATTTTCTTCCACTATCTCTTTCACATGTCTGCATAAGCTACTCTTATTTCACTTTACAGTTTATGCAAAAAAAATAGTTGTTTGTTTAATTGTGCATCAAAGAAACATAAGAAATTGAAAGTAATTCTGTAATGCAAAATTGAAACTGAAAAAATAAACTTTCTAAACCACTTACCAATAGCAGCATATACAATCAACATTTTTGCTATTCCAATTTTTTGTCTTCTCCCTGCATAGTTTAATTTTACAGCTAGGCCATTTAAAAAAACTATTCTTAGTAAATAACATATTCAATCTCCTTCGTCTTAAATCCTGCAAAAATACACAACCTGGCAATAGTTAAAGTAGTTTTTGTTTAGACTTAAATTAATATAAAATGTCATTTACAAAATTTTTTCAAAGAGTATTTTATTTAAAGTATATAAGTTATACTAAGATATTATACAAAATGCAAAAACAGATCATGAAAAAATATTTACCATTTAATTAAGTATTTTCTTGTCTTTTTCCTTTCAGAATATTTGAATTCTTCGCTGCTTTTAATGGCAATAACACTCTTTCAGCCAATACAATAATTAGCATACCTTCGTTACTCAAATTGTTTTAACTTAATTTAATGTGTTTTGTAGTTTACCAAGTTGCATTTCAATGCTTGCCCATTGTGCCAATAATACCATCATATCTTTCAAGGATGCAAATTTATCTTGAAACAATAAAGTTAACTATATTATTAAGAAACTATTAAACTAAATAAATATTATATTTACAATTTATGAAAGTAAATACAACAATCACTAATAAAACAGATAAAATTAAAGACAAAGGGGCATTTTTTTAATGATAAAAATATATACTTGCTAATTGATTCATAATATTTTTATGAATTACAAAATTTGCAGGTGTGCATTTAATTTATGGCACTGACACAAAACAATTCTCATTAATGTTTGAGATACAAATTGCACTGTAAAACAAAAAATTTCATAGTAAAACAATGTTTCTCCAACAGGGTTCGTAGCCAACTATTTATATAAAATTCAATTGCTTTTTTAAAAAATCAGATGAATTTCCTTGACTATTTTTAACAATGGTTTTTACAAAATATTTAAAATTACTATCTACTGTAATGAAGATGCTAAGATTGTACATGCTTTGAATGACAAAACTTATAAAACTTAGCTATTAGTTAAGTTGGATATTAGTATGGATCTTAATATAATGTTAGTATTCTTATTATTAAGAATGATGAATGAAAAACATGAGTTTCAGAAAAAATTAATGGCTAGCACCAAAAAAAACATAATAGCATAATTGAGCGCTGTATTTTGAAAATGTGACCAGCGCTTAAAATAATTTTTCAAAGCTTGCCGATCAAATGTAATTTTTCACAAAACAGGTTATTTTCCCTAGAATTTTTTGAAATTTCTCTTAAAATAGCCAATCATTGATGTTGATCGGCCGTTATTTTGAGCGCTGTGTGACAAGTCACAAAATTAAAATTTTACAGCAAACATTTCTCCAGTAAAAAATTTTATTTTTATTTTTTCTAAAAATTGTTTATTTTGTCTAAAAAATCTTTATTTTATCTAAAAAAATCTTTAGTTTATCTAAAAAAAATCTTTTCCTAAAAAAAATATATTCTTTTTAAACCTTGGTTTTAAAAAAAGTGTGACTATTCACGTTTTCAAAATACAGCGTTCAATTGTGAAACAAGTGACTTCTTAACTAGAATTATTGACTTTTCCATGACTATCTAAAGAAAAAAATAATTCCCAGACATTTCCAGGTTTTCCACGACTTTAGCTAATTTTAACAAATTTTCCAGATTTTCCAGGTACAGGACGGACCTTGTCCAATGTTGGCAAATAGTTTTTTTACATATTTTAGTTCTGAATTTTAATAATACATTTTTAAAAATAATATCATTTATAAAAATATTATATTACCTTCGTCTATTAGATAAATTTAAATAAACGATTATATAATGAACCACTAGAAACTGTTAAAACTTTAATCTGATATGAATACTCTGTTGTTTTTTTAAACATTTGATTTCAAAGCTGGTGACACCAACTTTGAAATCCAACAAAAAATTTGTGTTACGTTCATAAACTTAAATGTTCTCAAAACGACTAAAAACCTGACCAAGCCTGTGGTATAAGCTTTGATATATTGATTATTACACAATAAAATGTTAATTAACACTCTGACTTTTTGACCGTAATATATGAAAAAGTCTTTAAAATCATATCATATAACTAAAGTTAATGTATAAGATTAAAGTAGTTAACTGTAGTACGCAAATTAAATTAAAAAAATATCCACAGAGATTAAATTTTAAAATAATAAGAATAATGTCCCTCTGCCACAAAAAGATGGAATATATAAAGGGTTTTTTCGATTTAAACCATGATTTAAATCAGACAAATAAAAATAATACTTAAATTGAACTTTTTTATTTTAATTGTTTTTAGTGATTATTTATTGATATAATCTTATAATTCATAAGTAGAATATAAATTCTAGTACCATTATTTTTTGAACACTGTTTTAATATGTTAGTAGATGGGGTTCCACAATCAAACACAGAAAAAATTAAACATAAGAGACATATCTAAAATGCAAAATAACAGCTTCTAACAACTTCAATGCCACATATAATATATACTGTTAAAGGTATCAATAATATATATGGCATATATTATTAATTCCTTTAATAATATACCTTATAATAGCTATATAATCTAAACTATTATAAATAAATAATGAAAGTTTTTTTTTTTTTTTTTAATAATTATTACTGTATGACATTTCGAATGTTAGATTTATTCAATAAAGAAGACATTTAAAATATCTTCTTTATTAAATAAATTGAACATTTAAAATGTTTAATTTGTTTAATAAAGATTATTAAATAAATCAAACATTTGAAATGCCAATACAGCAATAAGTATAAAAAAAAACCTTTATGATCTTACACAAAAATAATTTGATTATTGCCTTTATTATTACATTATTAATTTAGATTGTAGTAAAAAATGTTTTAAGCTTATTATTTAAATGTTAACAATTATTTCATTATTTAAAAAAACAAAACATTTCACGAGAATCTCTTGAAGATTATTTCTTATAAGGAACCTTTTAAAATTCTAAGAAGAATAATAAATATACCTTTTTTTATTTTATTTTTATAATTTAAAATAATGGAAAAATAATATCAAAACCTTTTTAAATTCTGTCACACGATACCATTTTTTTAAATTGTTTTTCAACAAATTTAAAAATATACTACATTGGCCGAATATTGGCTACGGCATAAATGTAAAAACAGATTTTTATTGCAAAATATTAAGCCCTAACTGCATTGGCCAAATTTTGGCCCAACATAGTAAAATAATTGCAAAAAAACCTACTTGTTGAATTGCAATATTACGCCGAAATAAAAACATTGGTTAAATGTTGGCCCAATATAGTACGATATTCGCAAAAAACCGTATTGCAGAATTGAAAATAATACGCCGAAAAAAAACATTGGCTAAATGTTGGCCCAACGGAATAAACTTGCAAATGTTTAAACTTATGTTGGGCCAATGTAACCTATATATATCCCCTTTCTGGGATATATATATATATATATATATATATATATATATATAAATATTATATATTATTATTATTATTATATATATATATATATATATATATATATATATATATATATATATATATATATATATATATATATATACATAGATATATATATATATATATATATATATATATATATATATATATATATATATATATATATATATATATATATATATATATATATATATATATATATATATATATATATATATATATATATATATATATATATATATATATATATATATATATATATATATATATATATATATATATATATATATATATATATATATATATATAATTACTAAGAATTATCTAAGATTGTTAACGTTAAAAAATTAAGTTTAAGCGTTTTAAAGATTAAATCTAATCTAATGCTTTAAAAAAATAAATGCTTTAAAAACAGGTTTTACATTTTGCATTTGCATAATCATTTGTAATATCTTTCAAAATATACTTTTTTGATTATTAATAACGTATTATTTTACTTATAATAAAAAATAAAAAAACTACTACAAGGCTTATTTATTAATATTCTTTTGATAATAAATCCTATTTTGAATTAAAGATTTTTCTTATTTAATAGTTCAATTATTATTTCATAGCTATTTTATTATTGCTTGATTACTAGACTAGATTACTACTTTTTTATTACTAGAGTATTACGGTCAAGGTATTTACTGGGATGATGCTAATTCTGAATTATATCTATGTTTAAACCAATATGCTATAACGTATGCAACATTATTTTTTAAGTTTATTTTTAGTATTAATTATTTATCATTCATTATAATTTTAATTCATTACAATTGTATTAAATATGAAATGAAAAATTGAGTAGAACATACAGCGTATCAAATTATATGCATATGATGTTCTTTTTTTTTCTTTTTTTTTAGTAAGTAAATGTTGTGAACATTATTTAAACTAGCCATTTAATTTTATTTTTTTTTAAGTTCGGTCTTTTTTATAATTTTTTTTTCTTTAGTCGATAAAGTGAGGTAAATATTTTAAAATTCAAAATCCAGTTGTTGTGGAATATTTAAAAAAACAATAATCACGCCCATTGTGATGTACTTCAACGCATTATGACCATAGTATAAGAGTTATGTAAACCATTAAAGCATTGATAATTTTCACACAGCAATAGAGCAACTATGAAAATGTGATCAAGTAGAAGAATAATATTTTTAATTCGATTTTTTAAAGCCCTAGAGTTAAGATTCCATTTTGTTTTACGTCTGTAGCTAGCGCATCGCGCTTGAATAATCGAATAAATTTTCCCTTTTCATAATTTTGTAACAAATAAAATGATATTGAAAAAATTCTTTAACAAATATCTAGAGAAAATTTGAGCAGAAAAAGGCATTGGAATGGTAAATAATAAATTTCTTTTTTTATTTTATTAAAAAAGTCATCTTTTTGACTAAAACTTTTTTGAAGAAACATATTCTTTTACTTTTCCCTAATTTCTGTCGGTAATTTTTCGTTAATCTGTAACTAATTTCTGTCGGTATTTAAAATACAAATTGCTTAAAAAATTAGGCATTGAGGATCTGGAGGTATTTGTTGTTCTTATAATGCCATCTCTGGAATTGATACCAGCAACTTTTTGTGAAGCCTTTATTCCAAGCTTTACGCATCATTTTAATGCTTGGGTGTCACATGGCAACTTTTTAAGGTTTCACTCTGCCACTGTTTCACCTGATTGGATCTTTGACCAAATATCTTTATAAGAGATTCTTTGCAGCAAAAGTGGCAGCAAAAGCGTAGTAGTGTTCTAGTCAATCATCTTTGTACAGTCTATAGAAAGGAATTTAATTTTGGGTGGTTTAAAAAACTTCTGATAACCTTTCTTTAAGAAGCCTTTATAATTCTTCTAAAACCCAATTCCCTAATATGATCCCGTTTGTCTACTACAATTATTAAAAGCATATTTATTCAATGTGCAACAAAAGAGTTTTTCTCAATTACTGGGTATGATATTTTTAGGGAATAATTGGGCAGGAACATTGACGATTTTAACATTTCAAATGCATGTTCTGCTCCATTTGTGAAGTACTTACTTTTTTTTAATATGAAACCATCCAGGAACATGATTTAATAGAAAAGAAACGAAGATTTTGTGCTCCTCTGTTTGGGTTTTAAGGCTCAAATATAATCGTAAAACACTGTTTTCAGTTTTTAACCACCTCAAGTGTAAAATTGTTCCAGGTTCCCGAACAGATAAATCTTCAAAACAACTGCCAGATTTAATAGCAGAACCTATATCCAACAAGAATTTTGCGGTTATTTTCTAAAATTTTACAATCGACACTAACAAATTTTACCAGTGGTAAATACCAAGGTAAAACCATTGTAATTTAAGTATTTCAACCTCTAAAGTTTTGTCCTGCCTCCCATCAAAATACAGTCCTTGAAGCGGGTTATATTATTCCTTGCTCTGCATTTGAAGTTGTAAACGGTTACCTAATCTCGCTAATTTTAATTTTGTCAACAACAAGACTGTGATCATAATTGGTTACGATACAATACCAAAATCTTGCAAATCACATGAGGCAATAGCTGCCGTTGCTCTATCTTATATTCCATAGCGATCAATAGTCAGAGCTATTTTTTAGTTTTCATTAAAGTTTTATTTGAGAGCTTCTTCATAAGTTAAAAGTTTATTTACAGATAATTCTAGTGAATGACCAAAAATCAGGAAGTTAAATTCGCTACGAGTAATTTTTTTAAAAACAGCCATGACAGATTTTTTTTTTTTTTTGTTTAGGTGCCCCAAGAAGACCTAACGGTCTTGTCACAGAGCGCCGTAGAAGTGCATTTAACCAGTAAGTTTACGCCTCCTTCTTTACCGTGACGCAAAAATATGTCCAGAGCTTATTTTGAACCTGGATTTCCTGCTTATATAGCAAGCGCTGTAACCACTGCACTACGGCTGCACACATTGATTAATATTATCAAATTGATATAAGATTGGTTAATATTATCAAATAATCAAAATAAATATATATCAAAACAAGTTTTTGTGGCCAGAAACACACCAATTTTGCAGCGCATTTTGGAAATACTCTAAGGCGAACTTTATTACGAAAATGACAAAAAGCGAGTCATTTATTCAAATATTCGAATACGATGCGCTAGCTCTAGACATTAAACATTTGTATTATTTTTTTTGCATTTCTCTTAGATACCCTTGAGACATGTTTTCTGCGGTAAGCAAATCAAAAAGCAGACTAAAAAAATGTGGTCCAACCTAATAACTGGCTCGTCTAAATATTAAAGCCAATATTTTTGACTAGTTAATTTTGATAAATTTGTAAATCAAATTTTGAGCTAACTGCACAAACTTGATTTGCTTATAGTCTATTTTTGGTCTTAATATGAAAACTTTTTTCTTTGGTGTTCTGTGACAAGACTGTTTGGTTTTCTTGAGCATTTAAATCGAAAAAAAAAAAAAAATTGTTAAGAAACCTGACTATTTTTGTTTTACTTTCACCGCATTAAAGCACAATGTTAAATATAGTTCAATTAAAAAGACAGCATTGCTAAATCCATTCAAGATTGAATCTCAGCAAAATTTTTTTTAAATAAGTATGTTAAGATTTTTTAAACCTGGTTATCTATAAACTTGTTACTTTTTTAAAATCATAATTTTACTGATTGAAATATGCATTGCAATGTGTTAAAAAGCATGCCAATTGTCATGTAGACTTATAAATGAAAAGAAGTTTTATTATTTATCTTTAATATTTTAAATTTTTTAAATCTATAGTGTGCGAAAACCAGCTTGTTTTACAACTAAAGACAGTGGTGTGCTATGGAAAGGTAAATAGATTACTTTTCGTTTTGTTTTTTGATATACATTACATGTTTTGATATACATACATGTTTTTTCTTGCAGATATTAACACTTTATAATTATCTTTCTATAAATCTAATAACACTCTTGGTAAGCAATATTGCATACAAAATTATTACTAGGAGGTATGCAAAGACCAGCATGTGTTGTACTGACGTCAATACTGTGTTTATCTGAATCCTAAAACACTGTGTAAACTTAAGTTTTATCTACTAAAAAAGATAAGTATATTAAACCTAGCAACAAAAACAGCCATAAAAAAAAAATGAAAAGAAAAACATAATAATAGAATAAATAATAGAAGGTTAAACTTTACAATTGGTATAAATGTTATAGGCATACTAAATAGTTTAATAAATGGGCTTTAAATAATTTAACAATGTTATGGGCTTAATATGTAATGGACTTACAAAATAATTTAATAAATTGTTAAAAACTATTAGCCAAGAGAGCAGAAACTTTTAGATGCTACTTTTATTTCTATTTTCACTTTTCCATGGAATGTAACAGTTATGTCATTTAATAACATTGATCTGTCGACACTACTATTTTTTTTTTATTATTAAATGTTATTATTTGTATTATAATAAGTGTAGTTTTATCTATTAAAGAAAATCCAAACTTCCTAAAAGTTTTGCAATACGCGACCACTCTTTAAATTTGTAGTTCGTTATAACGGTTGTAATAAAGCTTTTCGTTTTTTAACATTTCATGATAAAACACTTAATCAAAACAACATACTTGTTTAACTAAACTAAAATACTCAACCATTTCTTAATCCATCTTTTAACTAACATTTTATATTGCTTTATAACAGAAGATTCTGTGCAGAAAGATACAGGAGTTTTAATTTTGGTAGTTATGAGAATAAGACAAACCAAGTTTGACTTTTTCATTTTTTTACAGTTGGTTCTCAAATTTCTCAATTCCTTTATAAAGTTGTAAGTCTCTACAATCGAATTGTTTTTATTTCTGTATCGAACTGTATTTTTTTTTTGAGAAAAAACCTTTTTGTACTTTTTTAACAAATTTTTAAAGTTACTTAGAAGTGTGGGGTTCTACTCATGAGGAACTTATAAAATTATTTTCACGTATATTGCTTAATTCCATTGCGTTCTTTTCACTTATAATAAAAAAAAGAATTTTGAAATATGGTAATGCATTGTGCATGTTAAATCAACGATCCAGCATGTTCTACTTACGCACAATTAAAAACAATTTAAACTATTTGTTTAAAAAAAGTATAAAAAATTTATAGAGCAAATACAGATATAAAAGTATACACAGAGTAAACTTTTGATATTTGTATGGTATTAGTATTTTGGTTCAGAAGATTTATTTATTTTATTTTATTTTATTTTATTTGCCGTTTAATAAAATTTACAATAAAGAGGTGTAAAAGAAAAAAAATCACAATTTTTTTTTTCTTTAACACCCATTACATTGTCGCTTTCAGTTTATGTTACAAATTAAAATTAAAAATTAAAAATTTACAAGTACTATGGTAATTATATAGTAAAACAAAATAATTTACAATTAGTAAATCTTTTAATATATATATTTATATATATATATATATGCACATGCAAAAAATATGAAATTCTATTCTCAAAAAATAAAAATCTACTAAACAAAAAAAGTGAGATGGTATCCAAGTACAGGCATCGAAACAAATTCCTTCTCGCCCTATTCGACACGGCTGATTGAGCAATTTTCTAATTAATTATAAAATTGTTTGTTTTGACGTCAGAACTCATTCCATTGCTTTGTTATGGGTTTTTTCTGTTCATTTC